CTCTAAAAATGATAAAGCCAACGACATTCTTCACAAGAGCTAATGACTAAAGTCACTTTGCTGTCAATATCTGTATTTCTGATCCATTATGAGCATTGAGACAAGATTCAAATATTCCCAAAGAAAGAAGCACAGTGTGCTCTGTGATCACCTATTCAGCAACATCGAGCATGGCTTTCAGAACTATCTTGTCCCAGGAATTAAATAAGGTCAGCCACATTCATTTGCATTTCCTCCATTGTATTATTGTAGAAAGTCTCAATGTCATGAAGAGTCCTCTTGTCTTCTTCAGTAACAAAGTAAGTTTGTAGCTACATCTTTCCTCCCAAATAAACCCCCTCTGCCAATTTTGCTCTTTATTCAAACATAAATCTTTATTCAAATCATAAAGCTTTGTTTATGATTCCACATCTAAATTATGTCAGTGCTATTTCTGATCGCCATCTCATCATCAATGGCTGCTGTCAACTCCTGTGAATATAATTTTCACGATTGGTAGGTAGATCATAGCTTATCACTAAAGGTACTTGTTGTACATCAACCCCGTGAGCCAGCAAGTCAGTAGTGATCAGAATGCGGCTTGACTGATTGGAATTTCCTCATGATCACATCTCCCTCCTTCTGGTTCATGTCGCCTTGCAATGCAGAAACTGTGAAGTCCCTAGCATTCATTTTCTCAGGGAGCCAGTCTACCTTGTGCCCTGTATTGAGAAAGATAACAGCCTTTATAATCGTCAGTGTCTCAAAGAAGTCACAAAATGTATCCAACTTCCATTCCTCTCTTTCCACACTAATATAGAATTGATTCTTTCAAGGGTCAGTTCTTCCTTCTTCACCTTCAGAATTTGAATTGGATCATGAGCTTTTTAGTCACTTCTAACACATCAGTTGGCCTTGTGGCAGAAAGCAGCATAACCTGAATATGTGTATTTAATTTTTGAAAAATCTCATAGATTTAATCCTTAAGCCTTTGGGTCAACATTTCATCTGCTTCATCCAAAACAAAAAATTTGATCCATTGTGGAGAAAGATATCACCTCTTTCACATATCATGTACTTTCCCTTGAGTACCAACAACAATATATGGTGCTTCAGCCTATAGTTTTTGCATTTAATTTTGAGCAGTGGTGCCACCAATGCAGGCCTGACAAGTTGTTCCCTTATAGTCTCCAAGTGCCAGAATTTCCTTTCGGATTTGTTGAGCCAGTTCTGTGGTGGGGTCCAATACTAGTGCTTGGGTGTCCTTGGACTCAATCTCCAGCTGTTGTTACAGGATGGAAATAGCAAATATGGCTGTCTTGTCAGTACCTGACCGAGACTGAGCAATCACATCATACCCTTTAACACAAGGAATGATAGCTCTCTGCTGAATAGCTGAAGGCTTCTCGAAACCATAGGTATAGATGCTCTGAAGAAGCTCCTTTAAATTCATATCATCAGTTATCAACAATCTCATTCAAACTGCTCTCGATAACACCATCCATTCCCTCAGGACCATCATGTTCTCTGTTGTTATGTGCAGAGCCCATAACATGTTTTGTGTTTGAAAAGTCACTTAGTGCCTGACTAAAAGACTCATAGATGATTCTTTAATCATTCTGCTCAAAGCAGAAGTAGTTTAAGTAATTAAGATAAACCATTTTTTGGTTCAAAGAAGACTTCAGGTGATAGTTTTGATTTAAGATTTCAATATTAACTCAGGATAATAGTTTCAGGGGTTCATTCAGCTTCAATGGTTCTAGAAAGTCTGGATTTCATTGAGAATTTGAAATTCTGTTCCACATTTTCCCCCTCTTCATTAGGATTGTTCTATAGAACCCTACCATTCCTGTGGGTTCAGTAGTGGTAGCCGGGCACCACCCAGTTTTTTTGGTCTCATGGCAGATGAGGCAGTTGTTCATAGAGGCAACCACACAGGCATTTGATTTCCATCTCCCATTCCCGATGCTTCTTCCTCTGTGGCTTCAGGTGAGTGGAGAGCCATTGTTGTCTCCAAGTGACCTTGGATTGCCACTTGCTAGCTTTTAAGAAGGAGCTCTGGTAGCATAGTGCCTAAGGCACTTGACTGCTAACCAGAAGGCTGGTGGTTCAAACCCACCAGCCACTCCTTAGAAGGAAGATGGGGCAATCTACTTTCGTAGTGATACTGCCTCAGAAACCCAAGGAGGGGTCGCTATGAGTCGGGTCCGACTCGACAGCACATAACAACAACAAGATTTTAAGACCACAGTCACTATACAACAAATTAGCAGGTAGAAAAGAAGTATTGAGACAATATTAGTCCAATTGATTGGGATGTCCCTTGAAACCATGATGCTAAACCCCCAAACCAAGAAAAAAAATCCTGTGAAGTGTTTGGTTTAGTTGTTCATAAGTAGCTTCAACAGCTTCTTCTTTTTTCTTTTTTGGAAACATACATATAACACAACATTTGCCCATTCAACATTTTTTAAGTGTACTGCTTAGTGATATCAATTACATGAATCTGTTGTGTAACCATTACCCTTAAATGATGCCAAATTTCTCATCACCATATGCAGAAACCCACTGCTTCCCAAACAGTTTCCCTTCTCCCACTCCCTTCTGCCTTGGTAACTTCTAATAAACTTTGAACTTTATATATTTGCCTATTCTTTTCATTTTTTTAAAAAATATTTTTGTTGTTGAGAATATTCACAGCAAAATGTGTATCAGTTCAGAAGTGTCTCCATGTACAATTCAGAGACATTGATTACATTCTTCAAGATGTGAAACCATTCTCATCCTCCTTTTCCAAATTGTTCCTCACCCATTAATATAAACTCCCGCCCCTATTTACTCTTTTGGGTGTCTGTGTCAATTTGATCCCATGGAGAAAGTTCTTTAAAAGATTGCAATGTTCAAGGCAGACATTCTTTACAATATTTGCCCTTTTGTGATTGCTTTATTTAAGGGGCCATCCTTTTCTATTCAGCTTATACCTGGAAGGCCCCAGATGCTCTGAATTTCAGTTGCTGCTCAGTCATCAGTCCATCAGAGGTCATCACCCACTTGTCTGCTAATTCTAGGTTCTAGCTGAAATAACAATCTTAAGCTTATTTTCCCTCAGGTGGAACACATTTTTCTTTTTTTTTTTTTTTTTGCAACCAAATCATATGTGCACTGTAATCCAATCTATGCTGTACATAAAAGCATAAGTGATTTGGCTGGTTCAGCCCCCTCCCCACTCATGTCTCACCCTACTCTCCCACATGGAAATGCCAAGTTTGAAAACAGCCTAGAACAGTGCATTTTCTAAGACACAATGCAGTTCTTATCTAACACATGATTCTCATGCATCTTTGTTCCGTAAGTCAGAAGGCATGCATATTAGTTTCCTACTTACCTCACAACCGGTTGCCATTGATTTGATTCTGACTCATGGTGACCCCGATTATGTCAGGAAAAGGTATGCATCCTAGAGATTCCAATGGCTAATTTTTTGGACGTAGTTTGCTGGGCATTTCTTCTCTGGTGCCTCTGGTGGACTTGATTCTCCAGTCTTTCAATTGCAGCCAAGCAGGTTCTCAGTTTTCACCACTCAGGGACTCAATCAGTTTCCTAGGGCAGAGATTGAAGTTACTTTGCCACAAGCCAAGGAATACTTGGGGTTGCCAGAAGCTAGGAAAGAAAAGGTAGGATCTTCTCCTAGAAACTTCAGAGGGAGCATGACCCTGCCTACACCTTTATTTGGGACCTCTGGTTTCCAGAATTAGAGTGAACAAATTTCTGTTGTTTTAAGCTACCCCGTTGGTAGTAAGTCGTTATGGCTGCCCTAGGAAACGAATGAGCACCAACTGGTTGGCTTAAAAGCAACAGAAACTTATTCACTCATAGTTCTGGAGGCCAGAAGTCCAAAATCAAAGTGCTGGCATGGCTATCCTCCCTCTGAAGGCTCCAGTGAAAGCTGTTTAATTTTCTGTCCTATCTTGTGGCAGCCCCAGTTGTTCCTTGCTTTATGTTGTATTACTCTAATCTCTGCTTCTATCTTCATTGCCTTCTTTTCTGTGTCTGTTTTCTTCTTAAAACACACTAGTCATGTTGGGTGGGAGCTCTGATGAAGTAGTGCCTAAGGCATTTGACTGCTAACCAGAAAGCTGGAGGTTCAAACCCACCAGCCAGCCATCCCTCAGAAGGAAGGTTGGGCAATCTACTTCTGTAGTGATACCACCTCGGAAACCTAAGGAGGGGTCGCTATGAGTCGGATCCGACTCGGTGGCAGTGCATTTGGTTTTTTGGTTTTGGTCACGCTGGAATAGGGATTACCCTACTCCAGTACGACATCATCTTAATTTGATTATTTGCAGAGACCTTGTTTCCAATAAGGTACATTCACAAGTACTGGGGGTTAGGACTTGAACAAAACATTGTGGGAGATACACTTCAACTCGTAACTGTGCGTGAAGAAGAAAGGCTACTTAGAACGTTTCTTGACATAGGATCCACATGCCACAACAGATTAAACTTAATAGAGGCTGATTTGCATCATTTCAGAATCAGGAATATCACAAGACCTTTATCTAGGGTTCCATTCCACTGGAGCTGGTAGTCTTGGTCTGTGTCATCTTATTCCACAACAAAAAGACCTGGAAGATATTTTGCTTCTCCCAAGGCCTCACAAAGATGTTTAAAAGATCCAGGGGAGTTTCTGACCAAAGTAGAGTTCCAAAATAAACAACATAGTTGTTTAAGCAGTGAAATAAGTTCCCTAAACCAAGCTTGTTTTCTGGGTTTTCATAACTGGATTCTTAAACGTTGACCAGACCCTTTCCTTCAGGGTTGTTTCCACCAAGCAAGCCCCTTTTGGGGGAATCAACTTTTGGACTCAAAGAATTTGGCCAGACCTGGATAATTGTCTGGAAAAAAATTGTTAGGTCCCTAGTTGGGGAAGGTTGAGGGTTTTGATGAATTAGAAAGTAGAGGGAAGCCATTGAGAGAATGGAAGAGTGTTTTCTGAGTGCTCCCTTGTTTTTTCTCTGTAGGTTTTGGCTGGTGGTTAAGGAAGATGGACATATGGTCACTGCCCGTCAGGAGCCTCGCCTCGTTCTGATCTCCATCACCTATGAGAACAACTGTCTGATCCTTAAGGCCCCAGGCGTGGACCAATTGGTTTTAGTTAGCAAGCTGCCTTCCTCAAACACCCTCCAGAACTGCAGGTGCTCTTCCTGGGGGCATCCAAAGACTGCAGTTGTTGTTGTTAAGTGCCATCGAGTCAACTCCAACTCATAGTGACCATGTACAACAGAATGAAACACTGCCCGGTCATTTGCTATCCCCACAATCCTTGCTGTGCTTGAGCACATTGTTGTAACCAGTGTCAATCCATGTTGTCAAGGGTCTTCTTTTCACTGACCCTCCACTTTACCAAGCATGATTTCCTTCTCCAGCACTGGTCCCTTCTGACAACATGACCAAAGTACATGAGACAAAATCTGTCCATTCTTGCTTCTAAGGAACATTGTGGGTATAATTTTCCAAGATAGGTTTCTTCATTCTTGTGGCAGTCTATGGAATTTTCCATATTCCTTCCCAATGCCACAATTCACACGCATCAGTTCTTTTTCAGTCTTCCTTGTTCATTGTCCAGCTTAGATGCATATGAGCGATTGAAAAGACTATGGCTTGGGTCAGATGTGCCTTAGTTTTCAAAGTGACATCTTTGCTTCTTAACACTTTAAAGAGGTCTTTTGCAGCAGATTTGTCCAATGCAGTACCTTGTTAGATTTCTTGACTGCTGCTTCCATGGGTGTTGATTGTGGATCCAAGTAAAATGAAACCCTGACTCCAATAAGTCTGATTTTTCTTTAGGCTCCTCCTTGCATTCTGTCTCGCTACAGTTTGTAGAGTAGAAGATGATATTGGTAAAGGGAATATCTAAGAGAAATCTAGTCTGGGCTTGAGATTAAGTCAGTGGTAAGACATGAGTGGGTGATTAAAGAGGATAACAGTAAATCAGCAGAAATCAAAATCCTCATTTTTTCACTTCTCTACCACTTTTGTTCTGACCCTAGCTGCACATGTAGCCCTTCTTCCTTGACCCTAGCCACCCAGAGCTAGGTGAGGGCTCACAAGTTAAATGACATAGACTGCCAAGTCCACCCAAGACCTCAGATATTTGGGAGTCCCCGCAACACCCTCACTTCTCATCTGCAAGCTACAAATTCAGGTTTTTCTCACTATACTTTCACTATGGGAGACACAAGCTCACTCCCCTACCTTGGACTCCCTTACTTCTGATCTATTGGTTACAAATTTGTTGGTTCTCTCTTTTCCCTCAGAATACCAGCTATAAGCTCATGGGTTCCCAGTTTCTCTCACTTCTGATCTGCTGGTTCTGATTTCTCCTTTGGGTTCAATAATTTGCTGGAATGACTCACAGAACTTATGGAAAGACCACACTCTCAGATGTGGTCTGGAAGCCTACATAACAAGACACATCAATTACCAGGAAAAAAAAAATCAAGGGTTTAAAATTATCTTTCAGGAATATGTTAGTTCTGCTGACATAATGGGAGCTCTGGTAGCATTGTGGCTAAGGCACTTGACTGCTAACCAGAAGGCTGACGGTTCAAACCCACCAGCCACTCCTCGGAAGGAAGATGGGGCAATCTACTTCCGTAGTGATACTGCCTCGGAAACCCAAGAAGGGGTCGCTATGAGTCGGGTCCAACTCAATGGCACATAACAACAACAACAACAGTTGACATAATGCTTAAAGCATTCAGCTGCTAACAAACAGGTTGGTGGTTTGAACCCACCAGCTGCTCTATGAGAGAAAGACAAGGCAGTCTGCTTCTGTAAAGATTTACAGCCTTGGAAATTCTATGGGGGAAGTTCTACTCTGTCATAAAGGGTCACTGTGAGTCAGAATGAACTCGATAGCAATGGCTTGTTTTGGTTTTCTCAGGAACCTAGGGCAAAGACCAAACTCTTTGGGCAAAGGTAAGTTCTTTACCCCACACTGATTTAGAATGCAGAGGACATAAAAGATGCTAGTCTTTAGGGTTTATCTCCTTTCATTCTGTTGGTGGACATTTATTCAAAATTGCCAGCCCTTCTTGCCAGGCAGACAAGGGAGTAAGTGGAGTCTGTATCAGCTGAATCTCAGGATTGGCGATAGTGATGCTGGAGCTTTTTAAGGTGGCTTTGAGATCGAAGGCTGAGACTAAGGTGTTTGTGGCAGGAGGGGTGTATAAGGATTTACACTAATGGCCTAGGGACATGCCTCAGGCCACTTCTTCCTTTCAGTGATGGGACTCTCTATGGGACTGCCAAGTTCCATGTGTTGGCCCTTGTTGCCCAATTTTTATGTTTTCTTTGCTACAATTTGTAGGAGCTCTAGTGGTGTAGTGCCTAAGGCATTTGACTGCTAACAGAAGGAATTTTGGGCAGTCAAAATCGACTCAACAACAGTGAGGTTTTTTTTTTTTTTTTTTGCTAACTATATTTTAGTAGTTTACTTTTGCTTTGCAAATTCGTAGAGTGCTAACTAATAATATTCTAATGTACTTACACAATGAACGCTTTGTGCCAAAATGTGAAGAAAGTAGATTTTGCACAAACACCCAAAGAATTGAAGGAAGAATGACAGAGGGATAGATCCATACAGTCTGTTTCAGGGTAAGAGACAGTAAGGATTGGCAGATAAATAATTTTCAGGAGTGGGGAGGAGCATTTAATAATTAGTATTCCCTTACCTGTTGGGTGCTTTCTCTTCTTCAGAGTATAATACTAAGTTTACCTGGGTGGGTAGAAGGTGAGTGGTAGAAGCATGTACATTTACATGCAAATACTGTTTTGAAGAAGTTGACTGGAAGTGCTGAACTCAGGGGCAGATACTTAAAGAACTGATAGACAATGGCACCAAATCCATTGAAGTAGGAGATGGTGGTTGCAGGAGAATTTTAGAGGTGAGGCTGAGGGCCAGGAGAGGACCATGAGATGTGTGTGAGGACCTAGGCAAAAATGAATCAGAGGCTAAACAATAGCTCCAGAAAAGGGGGTTCAGAGAGAAGGAACACTTTCAAGAACTGTTAAAATAACAGCATCAAGATTTGACAGTAGATGGGTGAGGAGGTCACAGGATAAGAAATCTCTCATCAGATGATAAGAAATCTCTTGTCAGGCAAGGATTAAGGGCCACTGCACAGGGGTTCAGCTAATTAATTTTAAGTACACAACTCAGTGACATTAATTATATATGTCATGTTGTACAACCATCACCACTATTCATTTCCAAGTATTTTCATCACCTCAAACAGAAATTCAGTACCCCTAAGTAATAACTCTTCATTCCAGCCCCTCTTCCAGGCCTTAGTAACCATGAATAAATTTGATCTCCATGCATCTTTCTATACTAGATAATTCATATCATAAATGGACTCATACAGTATTTGTCCTTTGTGACACATTTATTTCAGTCAACATAATGTTTTCAGTGTTCATCTATGTGGTAGCATGTATCAGAATTTTATTTCTCTTTATGGCTAACTCATATTCCATTATATGTATACACCACATTTTATTTATCCATTCAACTGTTGCTGGACACTTGCATGGTTTCACCTTTTGGCTATTGTCACAATTTGCATTTTAACTGTATCTCTGGGTGATTGGCATGCATAATAGAGTTTGAAAAGCACTTTTCTAAGTTACGTTCTGCTCCAATCACCCTCCTCTTCTGCTCTAAGGGCCACTTACTAGCCTTCCAGGATAGTCAGTTCCCAGCAGTCCACCTGTCCGTTCTTTACACCGTCATTCAGTGTGTTGATATTAGTAACCTTGGTGTTTTCTTCCAGGTTATTCGGTCTTGACATTAAGGGCAGGGATTGTGGTGACGAGGCAGCTCAGTGGTTCACTAACTTCTTGAAAACAGAACCTTACAGGCTGGTTCAGTTTGAAACAAACATGAAGGGGAGATCATCAGCGAAAATCTTGTCTCCTTCTGTACAGAAGTATGAGGTAAGCTTACAGAGGATTGCTCTTCATGTCCATAGGCATCCTTCTCTTTCTGCCTCCTTTCTTTGCTGACAAAGAGTCTATCTTGGGAAACCAGTTAGGAAAGTATTGCAATGGCCAGGGTAAGTGGTAATGAGGGCACAAACTGGGGAGACATAGTGATGATAGAGAGGAAAGAGATATTTCAGAAGTGGAGTCTGTAGAGTTTGAATATAGATACTATTCAATTCTTATCCAATAATCCTCATTCAAATAAGGATTTGAGTATGGGTTGGATCAGGCTTGAATGGGAAAGGTATGGAGGGAGCAGTTGAGGACTACTCCCTGGTTGCCAGCTTTGGGCAGCCAGGTGCATAGGGAACTCAGAAGGAAACTGGTGTGGGAGGCCAATGTGAGAAATTTGTTTGGGACTGAGATTAAGTATCTTAAAATTACAAAGCAAGGGTTTCTCCAGACCCTTCTTTTGCAGTCAGTACGGTATGGTTATTTCAGGTGCTGGAAGACATCTTGTCCTAATTAATACTGCCCACCCTGCCAGTTAAGGTCCACAGATGAACACATTGATTCTGCAGTGAGATAAAGTGTGAAATGCTGCGAGTACTTTGGGAAGTTTCTTCCCAGGTCCCTAAGCTAGAAGCTCCTTGAAGTCAGGTTTTTTGCTTGTCTTATAATTTATATTTGCTTTATCTGTTATCTCATTTAAATAGAATTCAGAAAATGAGTGGAGAACCAAAAGACTTGGGTATTTTTCTACACTTGCTTCTTCAGTGCTGGATAGTTGAAAGTAGTACATTATTGTCTCAGTCACCTAGGCTGCCTGGAGCTAACCATTCTGAGGGAAGAATGGGAGTCCTTCAGTAATTGGGTTGGTTGTGTGTGTGGGAGCTCTCCCATTGGGTGCTGGGATGAGAAAGAAGGACAGGAAATAAAGAAGAGAAAAAAACTTAGTCTTTGTCCACTTCAAGTTCAAGGGCAGGGCCTTTGTTGCTTTTCTTCACTGCTGTTTCTGCATTTAACACAGTGCCTGGGACATGGTAGGTATTCAATAAATATTTGTTGAGTGAACGAGTGTTGTTGAAAGTAATTATCACTAGAGCTGACTGGTGGTGTAATGATTAAGTGCTTGGCTGCTAATTGAAAGGTCAGCAGTTTGAACTGACCAGCGGCTTCATGGGAGAAATAGCTGGTATTTGCTCCCATGAAGATTATGACCCAGCAAAGCTTACGAGGCAGTTCTACTCCATCACTTGGGGTTGCTTTGAGTTAGAAGTGACTTGTTGGCATCTAACATCAACAACAGAGCTGACTGGCAGAAGGCCTTTCCCCTGTTTGATAAAGATGTGGGAGGGCTTCAGTGCAGGGAGCTGACATGACGATCAAGAAAGATGAGGCTGGGGAGACATCTTTGGCGCAAGCCCAGCCTGCTACCTTTAGCTGAGTGTGGCTGTGCAGAGCTCCATGGAAACTTACCAGGCAGGCCACGTTCCAGTGCTCCCTTGGTTATTCCTAACCCCACCATATCACCTCTCTCTTCTGAACTCAAGTGGTTTTGCTTCTAGGCTTTGCTTAGTTTTGCAGTTGGTCTAAGAATTTTCATGGAGAAGTGAGGCCTGATTGTGCTGTGTTCTTGTTACAGGTGGCCTACCCAGACTGCAGCCCAATTTTGGTCCTCTCAGATGCCTCCCTGGCAGATTTGAACACCAGGCTGGAGAAGAAAGCAAAAGTGGGGCATTTCCGGCCAAATATCATGGTGACGGGCTGCAGTGCTTTTGAAGAGGTAAGCAGCCCACTGCCTTTGTGCATTGCATTCAGATGTGTTGTTTGTGACACTAAGAGAGCTACCATCTCTTTTAAGTGTCACCACAGATCCTCCAAGATTTCAGCAAGGAATAACCTCCTTCCCTAAGATTTACTTAACTTGATAGAGTTTTTCCATATTGCTGATGCCCCTCAAGGGGCTGCTGATTCCTCTTTAATGTTCTACCCCAAGGCAAACAATCCTGTGGTAGTTATGTTTGTGTGTCAACTTGGCTGGGCCTGGTTGAGTGGCTGGGCAGCTGGTGGTAATTATTCCCCGTGATGAGACTGGCAATCAACTCCATGGTGGGATCTACCACAAGCATCTGAGTAGCTGCCTTTGGGATGTGTTCTGCTTCCTGTATATAAGGAGAAGCCTTGGGAATGGCCTCTAGCCTATGGCACACTTGGACCCTGTCTGTAGCTGTGTCATTGCTCAGCAGCCTGCTATGCTCTGCTGACCTTGGGACTTACAATGGACTTAAGTTAATGGCCTGCCATGTGGTTTTTGGTAACATCAGGACTGTGCCTTTTTACTTGCCGGCCTTGGGGCTTCTCAGCCTCAGCAGCCAGCAGCTGTCTGAGTAAAGAAATGCCTGTAGTTCCAGTGGGCCGGGAGCAGGAGGCAGAGCTGGATCCCAAGGTTGAAGGGCTTTCACCCAGCCCTGAGAGCCTGGCACTTTGAACTTGG